ATAACATTAAGTTTCTGCGGTAAGCTCTGTGTCCATGTAGATTTATTTTCTGAGTGATCACAAGAAGGTTCTGGCTATTCTTTCTGGGCCACTTGGAAGACATCTGTCCCAAACAATAACAGCTTTGCCAGATGGAACAAAATTCAATTCTAATAACATCCTTTGATGCTACTTACTTGTCCTTCCCTTTAGGCACTGTCTAATCAAGGTCTTCTTTCCTGAAAGATGAGGACTGAGCTGCTTTCCTTCCCATCCACAACACACACACACACACACACACACACACACACACACTCACACACACCTCATTCTGTCACTCCCGTATTCTTCTAAAGACCAATATTTAGTGCAGACTTCATTGTGTCTGTTTAATGCTGTTTACATTTTAGCCTATTAGCTGTAATTTTTAAAAATTTGAGCCTCTGAGTACATCAAAGATGGGAAATCTTCCTTTTCTAAGCTACCTCTTGGTGAGTCCCTCCCGCAGTGTTTGCATTACAAATTGCACCTTCCACCTCCCAGTAGGGACAAACCAATTTTTCTAACTCATGGTTACTCCAAGAAAAAGAGTTAGGGAAAGTGAGTGTCAAGTTAAAATGCAGAACAGTTTGTTCAAATGTCATTAAGAATTTCAGAATGGTAAAGTCAGTGGGTGAAACCTACCATAAGACTTTCTAAATGACTGTATGGATTGTGAAACCAGCCCTCCCTGACCAGACAAATAGACACTTTCATTCTTTAAGTAAATTTAAGGCTAATTTCAACTTATAGAAAACCCACAGACCTAAAGTTAATGTCACACTTAATAGTGAGAACTAGAGACTCTCCCTCCTAAGATGAACAAAACAAGTTTACTAAGTGCCTTAGTGAGACCCGAGTGTTCAAACAATGGAAGTGTGCCTGATCATGTTCATGCTCTCAGGCAATGACCTCAGTGAGGGCAGTGACACCAGTGACAGCATCAGCTCTGGTGATCAGCAGTTTAACCAAAGCTTGAGCTGCATGGACATCCACCTCTGTGACAATTCAGGGGTCTCTTACACCTATGAAATGTATATACCGACAGTCTGGGACATGCTGGATGTATCCTCCAGAGTAAAGGACCAGTTACTGCATTTCTATCTCCATTTAGTCCATGTTAGGAGGAAGAAAGGTGCTTTGTGAAGCCTCTGGTGAAATTAATTTAAAAGTTAGCCCTGGCTGGTGTGGCTCAGTGGATTGAATGCTGGCCTGCAAACTAAGGGGTTGCCAGTTGGATTCCCAGTCAGGGCATATGTGTGGGTTGCAGGCCAGGTCCCCAGTAGGGGGCACTCGAGAGGCAACCACACATTGATGGTTCTCTTGCTTCTCTTCCTCCCTCCCTTCCCCTCTGTCTACAAATCTTTTTTAAAAAAGAAAAAAAAATACATGCAAACTCCTAGATATTAGAGCAAAGCCACATCCTCTACAGCACTAGAACATCAGCTCCTGATAGGCTTCTAGGCCTCAGGAGGGTTGGAGAGTCTTAACCTGGGTTGTTGTGTGAGCAGGTAACCAGGCCTCCTCACCATGACCTGGGTTCTGTCACACCCACCAACACATGGACGGGTGAGCAGAGCAGCATCCATCACAAACAGAAGTGATACATCCTGGATTAGACCAGGACAGGTAGCCCAAACAATTCACATCTACTCCTGCAGTACTGTGACCTGTCACATAGCTGGCACCTGTGAAATCACAGAAAGTTTACTTCTACTAGTTAATAGAAAACAAAAATGGTCCACTCACTTTCAATTTATCCCAGCCCTGAATTCCCTCTTTCACACACACACACACACACACACACACACACACACACACACAATCAGCCACTCTCTTGCTGGTTCCCTGGCTTCTAGTTGGCCTTACCCATTGACACAAAAATACCACAAGACAAAGCTAACTTGTTGATGAAGCCAAGGCATGTCTGGGAATAAGGGGTTGAAATTTGGCTTTCACAGCTCCCCCAGGCCACGTGGACACTGCTGTTCCCCAGAATATGAAGTCAGAGCCAATGGTACACATTGCTACTGGAACTGGGCTGGTAACATCTGGCCCCTAATTTTGTCTTCACTTCCAAGCCTGTCCTGCATATCTCACCTTCTCCATTCCTCATCCCAATTTCTTTGTTGGTCTGACTACTGTGCACTCAAATGATCTTCCTGACTCAAATTTCCAAGCTCCCTCAACTCATCTTCTGTATTCATGGTGTCCCCAATCTTACTAAATCTCATTGTTCTTCAAACTCCTAGGTCCCTATGGAATGTTCCTTCTCTTTTTTCCTTTGTCTCTTATCTATTTCTTGTTTCATAACTTTTGCTGCTTAGTATATATGGTTTACCCTCTTGTCCCAATCTTAGAATACTGATCTGTGTTTTCAAGACCTCAGCTTTTTTGCCCACCCTGTGTCTCTCCCTGCATGTCCATTCAAGTCTGGGAGAATGGCTCCCTTCTCTTACCTAAACCAGCTCCAGTGGCTCCTCCCTCAAGAGTTAGTTTAGCCCCTTCATATGGCTCAGCCCCATCCTGAGCTTCCTTAACAAAACCCTCCTGTATTGGATGGCCTTTAATCTATACAATGCCTAATATCACCAAATCAAAGTTTTATAATTTCTCACTGTGACTGTGAGAAGACCACATTTATTTTTGCCCCTCCTCTATTCACTCCTTTGCTTATCCACAATCCATATCTGACCAATTCTTCAAGGATTTCAGCTGAGTACTGCAGGGATACAAGGAGCATTGAACATAAAACAGAACCATAAAAAAGACTTATTTCCCATTTCCCAAGTTCTGATTGCAGACTCTATAAGAATGGACACTTGGATTTTTAAAACACAACAGAGAAATCAAAGAATAAGGACATTGATATCTGACCTGAGTTCCAGGTCACTGAAAGCATAAAACAGGGTCTCCCAGTGCAGGCCTGTGGGGGCTGATGTCACAGGGACCTGCATGTTTACTAGAGATTCTGAGTTTTATGACAGAGTATTTTTGAAAATCTGTATGAACTTATTACTTGAAGGTGAATGAAGAAGTATATGTAATGAGGACACCATAGATGGTTAGGCTGCTGCAGAGGTGCAGAGGTTCACACCTGCCCTTTCTATCAGATTCTAAGACAAAGACCACTTTGAAGCAACCTGGTCCCCAGAAAAAATCTGGGCAGTCAGGTCATTATTTCTCATGGATGGTGGTTCAGAAGGGAAGCAGAAATATTGGAAATTTTATTTGGAAAATCTTAGACAGATTTTTTTTTAAATTTAAGATTTGAAAATATGGTACTGATTGACACTATGAACAAGATGACAGGATCAGCTAATTATAGGTAGGTGATGTCAGAATAAAACATGCATCACACAAACTTAAAGAGGCAAGAAACACTATTGAAGACCACACGATAGTGCAGCGACTCAGAACTCAACACCCCTGAAACTAAAGGCTGGGAGACTTTAAGAGCAGGAGAAAGAATTATAGGCATCTCCATTTGCTAATTGACTTTACAGAAAAGGAAAGTAAAACATTTCATAAAATCTTGAAAAAAGGTCTTTTATACCATGGTTTAAAGTTCATCATGTAAGTTGGGTTTCTATCTTCCCACAAAGACCGAGAAACTGTGATGTGAAAGATTAAATCTTAAGGGATGGGACCAGGCCCTTGTGACAGATGCTCACTGACTCATAACACTGGCAGGCAGATTTTAAGCAGACTTGTGTGTATTTCAAAAGGGCAAAGAAAGAATCTGCAATTACAAGTTGCAAATACATGTCTGAGGAAACTGCTCTGAGAAAATGGAGACCAGAGGCCTGCAATCAGAAAGAACTTGTCTAAAGGCAAGTCACTCTGAGGGAACATGAAGTTCTCTAGGTCATAACAAAATAGCTTTCTGCACAGTGGAGGGAAACACAACCAAATCTCTTTCATCCAAGACAAAGTTTTCATCTCCATCAGTTATTTCAGTTATTGCAATTTATAAAGAGGTGGAAGTTTCCAGCCAATTCTAAGTAGGTACAAAATAGCGGAGAGTCCCTGAACAGAGCCAGAATCTGATCTCCCAAATGGCTGTGCTTCTGGAGCTTTCCATTACAACATTATCTTTTTCTCTACAGTTACCTTTCCTTTGATCAAATGTCTTCTCTAAAAAAAAAAAAGGAAAAAAGTATGTTCCTGATCCTACAACATGGCTGGAGTCACCTGATTTGACTGATTCGTTACCCAAGTGAAGGGTAATTGACATTAACCACATAGTTTTTTCTGATGCATGTTTTCTATGAAAACTAAAATGAAAGCTTAAATGGCCACTTGAGGTTAGGAAGCCTCACCCGCATACTTCACCTGCAGTCTCTCCATGTTTGGGTCATGTCCTTTTCTCCAAGAGAGACCAAAAGGCCCATCAGGTCTAACTTGGCTTCAGAAAGGGTGAGGTTATTTCTAATTCCATGGGTATCAGTCTGAAGTGGGGTCTTTGAGCTAAAGCCTTGGTTTTATTACAAAAGTTTCTAATTATATCCTGTGAACAAAAACAACAGATGTACTAAATGTATGCAAATACTTTTATTGCCATGTAAATAAGAATACTTGAGAGTTTAGAAATATTTTGAAAGACATCAAAGTGAAAGACAAAGATCAGTGTTGATACCTGCGTGTTGTCCATTCCCATTGTCTACAATGGGAATTGTGTCATCTACAATGGGAAACGTCATCTGTGTCCAGATGATGTTTACGTGTTTTCCTGCAGAGCGGACAAAGCTCAGATACTACAAGTTTATCACCTGCTCCCATTGCCATCGCTAGACAAATGCTTCTTCTTTGAAGGACTTGGTATCACCTCCACTGTGGAGATGGTACAAATGAAACCAGAGGTGGGATTTGGTCTGAAATATGACTGTAAGTCAACATTAATGACAAGATCAAGTCACATTTTTGAGTATTTATTGACTCAATGCCAATCTTTTAAGAAATATTCACCTTCAGAACAAATCTATTATGATAATGCAAAAACTTTATTTAGAGTTAAATAACATAGAGAGGGAAGGAGGGTCACTTGGATTTCATATGCAGCTCAAGGGCCCAACTTTCAGCATAACTGATGGGGTTGGAGGCTCTACACCGGTATAAACCAACATCCTCCCTCTGGACAGGGTCTATGGTGAGGCTTCTGTGGTCCTGGGACAGCTTCCTTCTCTCCGAGAGCTGCAGATTCATGCCATTGAATAACCAGTGGGTGGAGACTGCATCTGTGTTACAGGTGAGGACCATGACATCCTTATACTCTGTGACTGTGGTGTTGCTGACTAGGAGGGTGGACTTTCTCACAGGCTCTGTGGAGAAATAGAGAATATGAATCTTTGAGAATGGGCTTGAGATGTGGAGCCATGCTGCTTCCTCAGAGATCTCAGCCACTCACAGTCCACAGTGAGCTATGTAAACGTCACCAGAGTGTGGTCCTGACATTTGCAGAAGGACAGTTGTCTAAGTTCAGGTGACAATATGTAAGGTCTGTGGAATTGTGCTTTACTGACTGTATATCCCTATTTCTGAGTTGATTCTCATGAAAGAGAATGAATTCTTGGCTGCCTTGTTTCATTGTATTTGCCTTAAAATATTCGCAGTATCTGATCTAAATCATAGGACAGAAGAGCTGCTTAAATCAGAGGCATCTGTTATTGATTGACTCCAAGAGATATTATCCCAAGTTAATACCTAGTGAATGAAGAGCTTCAAAAAGCACCTTGTATCCTCAGTTGCTTTCTGGGGATGCTTACTTTTCTCTGACCTCTTCTAAGACCCCCAGGACCATCAGCTAATATCCAAAGAATTGTCGAACTGCCCTCTCCACACACAGTCTCAAGTGAAAGCCCACACTCCACCTCTGCCAAGATGTGATTCTTGGGACTGAGGCATAGTTGGTGGCCAGCTCAGGAGCCTTGTGACTCGGGCACCCATTAAACTGTTACCCACTCAGCCCTTGTTAGGAGTTAAAGCACAACCTGACACAGGCTTCCAAGGGTGTAAGGAGTCAAGATTCCAGGGACAGGTTTCTAGAAAAGGGCTTCTGATATTAGCTCTGTGAGAATTTCAAGGAGCTCCTCAGACCAGAAGCTAACCAAGCTCTAAAGCCATTTCTCATGGCCATTGTCATAGGAGGGTGGTCAGGGGGCTGCACTGAGACTGGTTTCTCTCTGCTGAGTTACTTTCACCAGACTAGTCCTTCTGTCTGCAGTGACAGTCCACAGGGCTGCAAACTGAGAAGGGAACTGAGATTCTGGGGAGTTTGTCTCCACTGGGTGTGTCCTGTACTAAATGCTAAATCCCAACCTGGGACGTGATGCAGAGGGGCATGGAGGCATAAGCCAGAGTGTCAGTCCTGTGTGTGAGTAGAATTCACCCCACCTGACACCCAGAAGTCAAAAAGCAATCACTCACAGTATACATTAAGCCGTCCAAATCCTATTTCTTGTTTTGAACCTGGAAGGTTGACTACTACAGTGTAGACTCCTGCATCCTTCAGGGTGACCTCCTTTATCAGCAAGGACCCATCGTAGAGTATATCCTCTCGACCGGTGTTTGTAGCCCCATTTACATACATTCTTAGGGTTATGTAAAGAGATGCGATAGCATTCTGGCTGTTTGCCCTGTCTCCCCTGTACCACACAAAGCCTGTATAATTGGGAGGCACATTGCGGAGCTGTAGACGCACATCTTTCCCTTCAGCAACATTGGTCGACACAATAGCAAGTTGGGCAGTGGTGGGCAGGCTCCAGAAGTTTAAGAGTGAGACTAGGAAAGAAGAAAGACATTGATCAATGTCTGGACCTATGTATTGGGATGGAAAGATAAAGTCCTGGATCCTAAACAGGTCTCTTTTCTCTCAGCCTAGGTCTGTGTGTATGTATGAATGTGTTTCTAATGGTGAACGTCAGTGGCAGGCCACCATTACTGCAAATCTTCTGAACCTGTTATTTTTTTCTGTTTCAAATACTTTCCTCCAGGTGTTGGTGTGGCTCACCCCTCATTGCTCTCAGACCCTGGCTGACACTTAGTGGCATCTTGAAAGACACTTGTGCTGATAACCTTCTCTAAGATTGTCTGTCTTCACTTTCTGACCTGCCTCTGCTCTGCTTCACTCATGGTGCTTGTGGGTATCTGACATAACATTTAGGTCATTCCTTGTCCCTCACTCTCCCACACATCATGAGTTCCATGTCAGCAGGGGCTTGTCTGATTTTTTTGTGCCTTTAGTGATTGCAACAAGCTGCAAATGCCTGTGGGTGAGTGAATGACTGATCCCAGGGTCCTGCACCTTCTGGGGTATATTTGCTTATTTCTGTGGTTGGTAATAAAGGCAATGTCTAGCATGCCTGGTTTATTTTTTGGTATTTCCTGCCATAAATCATTATTATTTTTATTATCAGTTTTTCATAATTCAATATGATGAATAACTTAAGAAATGAACAGCAATCGAGGTTTTCCTGCCTCTCACCACTTCCAGATTATGAGACTTTCCTCTTGCTGAGTCACCTTCTCTATTCTACTCTGCTCTTTTTTTCTTTACTCTCAGTCCAAACAGAAGGCTTCCCTCTTTTCTCAGAGCACTGGTCTCTCCAGCAGAGTCCAGCCAGTCTCTGTGTCAGATCCTTAGTCTACCCAAAGCAAATGTCTCCTACTTACCAACCAGCAGGAGTCCTTGCCAGTGGACAAGTCCTCTGTGGGTAAAGACTGAAGGGGATCCCATGGTGTCTGCTGTCTTCTCTGTGGCTCCCTCCTTGAGAAAACCTTGAGGTCCAGTAAAGCTCACAGGCACCTCTGTCCTGACTAGTTCAATCTGGTGTGTTTTATACCTGTGCACTGAGTTTATTCTGGGAAAGATCATGACTCTTTTCATATGACTGGGGGCGGAGTCTGTGCCCAGGACCTTCCCACTCCCTGACCTCATTTTTGCCAATCTGTCCTTTCTTACCATTTTACCGGCCCCCTACATTTTGGCTTTTGGGAACTGTTAAAGCCTCTGAATACCATACACAGGAAACACTCAGACTCACACACAGACACACACAGAGGCACACACATGCTGTGTTGGAAAAGCACAGGCCTGGAGTGACCGGGTTTCAGGCATTCCACATAGCTCCCTTTTAGGTGCACAGTAGCCTCTCCCACAGCCTTTCTCTTTCACATTTGACTTTTCCCTTCAGAGCAGGAGTTCTTGGGCTGCTTCAGAAAAACCTGTCACAGGGATGTCAACCCTGCTGTGTATCAGATCACCTATAAAACTCTGTAAAGACTGTCACACCCAGGTGACACCTTAGAAATGCTGCCTCAGCATCTGCCTACCTAACGTGGATGTGTTGGGAACAAGGAAATTAAGAACTAAATTTCACCTTAGTAAACAAGAACCACATTGTAGCTAAAAGGAAATGATAAGGGAGACATAGTACAGTTAAGCAAACATCCTGTGTCGAGCAGATGCTCTCCCCTGGGTAGGCTAGATAAGCAATGCTTTGTAGTTTTTAATGAGAAAATAGGAACTTAGCTAGCTAGAGCCAGGAGATTACTAGGTTAATGAACAAACATCCTGCCTTCCCGCCTTATGCAAGAATGCTTGGTTTGAAATTCCCACGTGGTCTTTGTAAGCGAATTGCTAACTGCCACGTCTGCTTCTGTATAACGCTTGCTTGCCCGCCCATATATAAGAACGTAGTTGTAAGCGCTCGGCGCGGCTCTCGTTTGCAGCTCCTTGTGGGCACTGTGTCGCTGGACACTTTGAGAGTTTGCCCCTGTGCAGGTTAAACTTGGCCAATAAAGTAACATCTTTGATACCCTGAAAGTCTCCGATATTTGTTCTCGAGTTTGCTGGATGCTACAGATGCCCAACCAGAATGAGATCTTGTGATATGGATGGAGAAGAGCCCTTCCTCTTCTTGTACTGGGCAAGTCTCCAAATCCTATTAAACTGAAGGTTCTGTCTTGGCAGGGGTACAGTGGACCAGAAACTCTGCAACTAACAAACTCTCAAGAGAGGCTGATTTTACTGCCATGTAAATTGCGCTGGCAATAGCAAGGCTGAGACAATGACCTACTCACACCAGCACTGGCCTCTGCTGTGTGTTGGTCTTGGGTTTGTCAGCAACACACAGAGAGCCTCTGGTGTCCTGTAATATCTGTAATATTTCTGTTTGTGACACAGAAACCTAGCTGGGCACCGGGTCTCCTGATGTTGTCAAATGCTCTGAGAAGGTTTTATTTCGTCCCAGCAGGAAGGTCACAGAGATGACTCTGGGGTTGAGAAGGGGTCAAGCTTCATGATAATTGCAGAGGGAACCCTTCTTTTATCTCAGGTTGTTGCCAGACTACCTTTGCTGCCAGGGACAAAGACTCAAAATCAGAAGTCTCAATTGGACCTGCAGTGATTGGGGACGTGTCCTGCTTGTCTTTGAAAACAGGACTTTGGTGAAAGGTCAAGTGTCTGGGGGCTTCCTGGTCATGGAGGGACAGTTTCAGGGAGACTATTCTTTTCCACGTCTGTTGGAGGAGCTTCTCCTTGTGCTCCCTGAGTGTCGGGACAACCTCTTGTTTCTGCCTGCAAGGCTTTCTTGCAGTCACCTTGCCTTGCCCACATGTGGTGCCCATGCTGTAGGGAGCAGCAGAGAGATCCCTGAGAGAGCAGGACTGCTGGGCCCTGTCAAAGTCAGAAATGCACACATTTATTGAGTGTTTGTGAGCCAATCTTATGTCATATGCCTGGAAGCAACATCTCAAATCCTGCTAAAGATGATAGTTTTGCAGCTTATTATGTACATTAAAATCAAAGTAAAAGATGAAAAGAGTTGCCTGAAATCAATTAGGAGGTAAGAGAAAGCATAGCAGGGGAATCTCTAGAACTGGACAAAAGGCAAAATGCAGAAACACATACCTTTGTTTTTACAATGGTGGGTACAAGATAATTAATATTCACAGCACACAGAGAAGGTAGGCAGGAAGCCAGATCACATGAGAGGCTTTGTGGTCTCCTATTCTGGCACCAGAGCTCTGCCTTTCAGTGGTTTAACATAGAAAACTACTCTAACCTGTCAGAGGTATACCATCCAAGGTGCGTAAGAACAGGAGACAGGGCTCGCTTACAGTGGTCTGGCCTTTGCTAAAGAAGCTCTATGCCTGGGATGTAACTATCTGCTATCGTTTGCTCAGTTAGGAATTTCTGGTCAGAGCATCCTGTGTGGTTACTTTTGCTCACTGAGTTTGTCACATTTATTGCATGGCCCCTTTTTTGTTCATAGAAACTGGAAGGAACAGTGGGAGAGAATGGGCTTGAGGGAGGGGCCTAAAGGGGCCTTTTAGATCAAGTGATAAAAATAAGGTATCATCTCCACCTCCTTAGCCAAAGCCCGATTCACGTGTAAATTTGCCATATGTTGTCTTTGAGGTTCAGTGTCACCCTTTGGCGGGAAGGGGAAGACTTGCAGCCAGTGCTGGGGGTGTGCCAGGGGTGCTGACCAGGCGCCAGAGGGTGGGAGTTGACCCTCAGCCCAGGACAGCTCTTCCAGGCTGGGAGAACAGTCAGTCAGGGCCCTGTCCCTGTGGGTCTGAGGCCCCCTGACTCCATTCCAGGGCAGGGTGAGCCCAGTGAGAAGACAGACATTGTCCAGAGTGTTCTGAGTCCATTGTCAGGAGAACCTTCTCCTTAGGGAAATGGGCTCCTTCAGAAGTAGTTTCTGGCCCCAAGGTTCAAGAAAAAAAGGGGGAGGATTCTGTGAGAACTCTTCAAAGTTTTGACAGAGGATTTTGGCCTGAAGTGTTAACCCCCCCCAATGCCCTGTGTGTCCCTCGTCACAATATTGGAGTGTTGGACCCAATTAATCTCTGCCCTGTCTGTCATCTGCTCCAGGCCTCCCCACAGAACCCAGGAGCTGGAGCAGCTGCACATGGAGACTCAACCAGGGGACCCTGTGGGTTCTTCTGTTACAGGAGTGCAGGGCCCATGGGACCTTCAGCCCCTCTAAGAAGAAGGTAACCACAGATCCTGGGTTCTTCTGTCCCATGCTGCATATGGGAAGTGCACCTGGATCCCCAAGACAAGCTGGGGTGGAGAGATATTGTTACAGGGTGCAGCCAAGAGGGGGGATCCCAAATGGGCATTTGAAATGGGGTCCAGAACTTAAGGTGTCCAGGAGATTTTAAGATGTCTCCACCACCCGCCCCCCCCCCCCAAAGGTGTGGGTTGGGGGAAGGGACAAATAGACCAGGGCCATTGAGAGCTGTTTTGCATAGCAACAGCCTTGCAGCTAAGCTATGGCATGGTCATTTAACATATCTATAGCCTTTGGCTGGTCGCTTAGATATGTTAAATAGCTGTGGCCATGCCCTGAGGCAGGGGAATGGAAGTAACTTCCCCACCAAGACATAACTGGGGGGGGGGCAGGTCCCCCGAGTTACAGCGCCTGCGTGGGAGCCTGGAGATGATTGACTCCAGGACATGGGGCCACACCTGCTCAGACCCATGATGGCGACCAGAAAAGCTGGAGAAGACAGCAGATTGAGGGCAAGTGTGCCCGAGTGTGGGAGGAGTCGGAAATGAGGCTGCAGAGGAAGATTGGCCGCGGGGATTTGAAACCCAGACTTGGCGGCCATTGAGGAGAGAACCTTGCGGCTTTAGCAGAATGGGGAGGACCTCAGCCATTGAGGGAGAACCATGCTGCTTTAGGAAGGAGAGCCATGCGCAACCCTGAGGAGGTGAATCATGCGCAGCCCTGAGAGGGAGAGAACCATGTGGCTGTGGAAGTGCAGAGAGGATCACAGCCCTGAGAGAGAGAGAACCACCCGGCCTTGATGGAGTGGAGACTCCCGCAGCCCTGAGAGAGGAGAACCACGCATCTTTAGCAGAGTGGGGACCCCCACAGCTTTAGAAAGGAGAACCACGCGGCTTTGGCAGAGTGGGGACTCTCCCCTTCCCGCAGCCCTGAGGAGGAGAACCACGCGGCCTTGACAGAGTGGAGACTCCCACAGCCCTGAGAGAACCACGTGGCCTGGCAGAGTGGGAACTCCCATGGCCCTGGGAGAGAGGACCACGTGTCTGTGCCAGAGTGGGGACCCCCACAGCTTTAGAAGGGGGAACCACCACCTGGTTTTAGCAGAGATCCTGATGACTCAGCCGAGGGTGCTGGGAACCCAGGGAGGTCTCCCAGTCAAGATGGAGGACTAACTAAGAACCAGAGGACTGCCTGAGCCATGGACTTCTATTTCCTTTCCTGAGATTCGGTACTCTGGACTGGGCAAAGGGGGAAGAAAGGACTGTATGTGTTTGTGGGTGTTTTTAGGGACTTTAGGATTTTTGATAAAGACATTAGGTCACTACTTTAAGTTTGGATAGCATTAAATAAACATTTCCTTTCCTTTTCACAAATCTCTGGCATTGAGAGATGTCTTTCCTAGGGCGGCGGACATAACGGACCCGGGGCCTTCTTTCAATAATAGTATATCGTCCCCGGCCCCCCCTTGTTTGTTCTGTAACAATATCTCCAGGGACTACAGGCAGATGTCTCACAACCAAAGACCTTGGGGATGGGGCATCATTCCCTGAGTTTTTGAAGTCAGGGTGTGCTTGGTCCATCTTTGGTAATAACACTACCTGGGGTGAAGAGAGATGCAGAGAATCTGCCAGGTCAGATCTCTATGAGAAAAGGAAAGAACAGGCTGCTGTTCCAGCCACAAGAAGCTGATGTAACTTCTTAAGGTCACTTACAAGTTGGGGATAGGGAGGGCTGTGATTTTCTGGGAATAAAGGAGGGTCCAACCTATTAGACTTAGGAGATCTCTGT